GTATGGTTGAAAAAAAAGAAAAAATTATTGATGTGATGGAAAATATTATTTTATTGAAGAATATGTGGTTGAAAATGAGAATTGATTTACTGTAGAAAATGAGAATTTGTACCAAACAGGCCCTACATACAACACAACATTCTAAACTACTAACAGTCAAAAGACAAATAATCTTGGATATTGTCAGCCATCAATTATCATAACGAGATTTTGTAACTTGTGGTAATATTTATCCTCCCAAGAAAAGGAGAAACATGAGCGTTTGGACATTGAAATCCAATATAGGACCTCAATTATCGAACAAATAGAACTCCACAAACTAAACATTATTCTCAATACACTTTAGGACTGTATGTATTGAAATTTTAAAATAATGAGAATGTTATTAAAAATTTAGAATATCATTCCATTTACAATTTAGTAGAATATTAATTGCTCAAATAACAGATAATGGACTCAATTACTTAATTGAGTGCAAGGAGTTCTTTGGACTCTAACTAATGCATCCATGTTGCCCTTTAGCTAACAAGGAAGAGTGAGTACCTTGTTCTACCGCTTTCCCTTTGCTCAAAACAGCAATCATATCACAATTCTGTACGGTACTTAGCCTGTGTGCTACAACTACACTAGTCCCCACGGCCACACCATCACATGCTCAAGTGCATCTTGCACCGCCTTCTCCGAATGTGAGTCTAACGCACTCGTGGCCTTGTCTGGTAATAACAACGCAGGATTTTTCATAATGGAATTTTAATTCGTTGTGTCTGCCCACTGGATAGCTGCAGCCCTCTGTCACTGCACCATGTGTTGTACCCGTCCTTCAACCCCTCAATAAAATCATGGGCATTTGCTGCTTTAGCTGCCGCAATGATCTCTTCTTCATCCAGCGTTCTGATGCTCCTTGTGTGATATTTTGAGGTATGGTGCTGGCAAATAATGTGGGTTCTTGGCTTACAAGTGCAATGTGCTTCCTCAGTGACCTTAGGTCATACGACCTTATATCTAGGCCATCGATTTTTACTACACCTTTAAGCAGGGGCGGATTCAGCACCTGGCCAGTCCCTGCGGCCGCCAGTGCTGGATCCGCCGGAGCAATTTTTTTTTTTTTTTTGACAATTGATAAATATTTAAGGTTATATTACTGAAATTCATTTTTTTTTCAAATATACTTTGTAGCTCAGTTGGTAAGAAGTCGATTTTCTATGTTTTAGGTCCCAGGTT